CCCAAAAACACAAAATCAAACAACACAAACCCCTTCAAAACCCAAACAAAAACCCAGCAGTGCTTTTTCTATAGTATGTGTCTTTCTGTTTCTCTGCCTGGTAATGATTTTGTTTCTTCCTTTTCTTGAGAAATTAGATTGTTTCTTTTCAATTAGATTGTCAGCCTTGACTATTCTTTTGAATGTGTGGTTTGGTGCAGTGAAGAGGAAATATAGCACAAATCTGTTGGTGTGCAACAAGAAAGAAATGAAAGGTCTTTCATCAGCCTTGGCAATGAACTTAAACTAACATGACATGGCCTATTGGTCTTGTCGGAGTTGTTCGTAATATTGACCTTTTTTCTTTACTTTGTATTATGGTAGGGGCTAGGAAGCCTAATTAAAAAAATAGGATCTGGTTGTGAGCACCATAGAACTGATTTATGAGTCACTGACTCAGAGCTCTGGACAGAGCACCACTTTCCTCTTCCTGGGAGAGCCAAGGTATGAGAACAGAGGGAGGAGGGGAAAAGGAGGAATATAAGGCAGCATGGGGAGCAGAAGAGGGAACTCTCGATGTAACCTCTGGGCACATAGAAACTCTGAAAGGCTGCTGTGGCTGCTGGCATAGGAAAAGTTGAGAGGAATGGCTAGTTGGAAAGCACAGCCCAGGTTGTTGGATTGGAAAAGACTGCACTGGCTAGAAGCTAAACACAGTTTTGTGTAAGTTGGAGGTACAAGGAGTTTAGGGAGAGAGGATGGTATTAGGGACTCTTATGCTTGGGTACTAGACCAGTTGGAGATCAGCAGTTTGTGTCTGTGGGAAACAGTGGAAGGTGGTGGGAGGACACATAAACAGGAAGAGGAGCTATTTGAGAACCACTGGCTTGGAAAGATACAATAAAAATGGAGCAAAAACTGAAGTTCAAGCTTGCTGGTTGCTTAGTTGTTGTCAGCTGGATCTGCTTTGCACTAGACTGACAAGAAACAGGTTGCAAGAAGGAATTGAAGAGCAGGATTATCAGCCATAACAATTTTTATTTTGTGTCTTTGTTTAGAAAGTTGTTCTCCCCCCCACCCCGCCCCAAAGAAAGCATGTGTATGGCTTGAGGGCAGGTGGAAAAACAAAGGTGATGTTTGTCCACTTCCTGTTGAAAATAGAATTATCTGGCTTTTTGTATTTTAGTTTAGTCTTGCAATTTTTAAGACTCTCTTAAAAATAATTTTAAGCACAGTAAACAGTGCTATATACAGTAACATCAAAGGGGTGAATCAGCATCTTCTACATAGCCTGAAAAAGTGGATCAAAACCTTTGTAGTGAAAACCAACAAGAAAAAAAGGATAGTGAGGAGACAGTAGGCATCAGCTAGAAAGTGGAATGTGGAGGGGGGGAGAGTGCTTGTCTTTTTTTATTTAAAGACTTCTTTGTGATTAAAGTAACTTTAAAAAAAAACAAACAAAAAAACCCCACCACTTTCAAAAATGAGTATTGAAATGAAGCCATTATATGCTGGTTTCCAAACAATAGGGAGAAAAAAATCATTTGAGTCTTGGAAAATATGGATGCCTCAACAATAGAGTGTTTACTTAGAGTTTCATATCCCTTAAATGGCAATACCAAAGAGCTGTCAATGTCTTGGTTTGTTGTTTGTTTTTTTTTTTTAATTGGAGGCAAATCGTTAGTAATAATAATGAAGTTACTTTTTAGATAATGTATTTGTGCTTTTCTTTGTATATATTAGACCAAGCGTGGAGTGGGAGAAAGCATATATATTCTCTTTCCTTGTCTTTTGAGTCATCATCCAGATGGAAGTAAAATAGAATTCTTGAAACTGATCGAGAAATCTCTGCTCATAAAAGTGCTTGATTTCTTTCTTCTGGGCTAATCTTTAATATGCCTTGACATGTCTGAACTTTTTAACTGAAAATAATACATATTGCCTCCTTCCATTCATTTATTTTTTAAAATTGCAAATACATTAACTTTCCATGATCATTAAGTAGCTGTCATCCATCTTCTGAAGGATGAGTGGTACTGGAGAGCCCTTTCAGTACAAACATGACAAGTTGCATTCCTTTCAGGGACATCTTAATATGTCCTCTCCTGTATTCCCTCCCTCAGACATTCATAAGCAAAGTCAGGTCCCAAGAGATTTAGAGATCTTATTTTCAAAGAGTCCAAATTGTTTGAAAATTGTCTATTTTGCCTTTGGAGACCCGATGAGACAATTAAATATTTGTGGTTGTGAAGAAGGAGGCAAAACCCCTGAATTTGTTTGCATAGCTGCCTGGCTCAGAAGAGAGAGCTTGAGAGCAAGCCAAGTATTGCATGATTCAAAGAGAAATTTTATTCTATTGTTTGAAGTAGATGTCCGAGTGAAAGGCTGTGCTCTGCTATTCATTTCCCAGGATACATTATAGACATACCACTGAGGCCCTGAGCAAGTCTCTATCAATTTGAAGCGCACTGTGTACTGTGTCTTCTATTGAACATTAAAACTTTTGTTGATTAGTATTGTGACAAACTCTGGAGTAAATGTCCATTTTTTTCAAAATTTCCTCTTGTAGACAATACTTGAAATTTGGAAGCCTTTGAGTGTATGGATTTTCAGTGTCTGAGGAGTCTCTTAAGTAAGTCTGATGGATCTGACTTGCTTTATTTAGCAATGAAAATGTGCTTCTGCATGAAAACTCAGATACTTTTTATATGGTGACAAATGTACATGATGTAATGGTCTCTTTAAGCTGCTTGTAATTTCCTCATTATGACCTCTTAACTTAGACAAGATATTGGTATATTTAACCACTTCAGGCAGAACAGTGATTTAGAGGTAATTCATTTGCAATAGTTGTCTTCTAAGGACTATATAACATCCACTGTAACAAGATGAATGCTCTAGATTTTATAATAACAACTTAGTTTGTCCCTGTAGAATATCCACTCTTGCTTTTTCTACTAGCTGTTCATTTGGGAGTGGATGAATGAGTTGTAAGGTACAATATAAATCCCTATTGTCACATTATTGTTCTTGTTTTTCATGGAATCCAACTTCTGTTGCAGTCATGGAGATACAGTTATTGTGCGCATTTACTGTTAGAAAGTGGTTTTTTCAACAGTCTGGGGATTCCTTTTTATGGAGTCTTGTTCTTCTGTAGTACGATGGTTTTATTCTGTCAGATACCAAAATGCAAATTTTCCAATATTGTTATGGTGTTATACTGCAATTAAGTTTTTACTTACTAAAACACTTGGGCGTGTGACTTGGGATCTTAAAACAGTTTCACTGGTGTATATCACAGTTCACCGTAGGCTGGATTTTCTTTGTTTTACTGGGCATCAAAGCAGGTTTTCTCTACAGAACTCTGAGCAACTGGAGGGCCTTAGCAGGATATTTCTTCAACATGGAATCTCTTCAGAAGGACAAAACTTTGGATCTCAGTGAAAATGATTTAACATGCAGTTGGTTGATTCAGAGGCAGAATACTAAGTTGACTGGATTGTCTGCATAGTTTGTGTTACAGCAGTATGAAAAGTAGAATTTAATTGACTAATCTGTCACATTTCATGAAGAGACAGGGAAGTTTTCCTTAAACCAAAACAGCAATTAAGAGATACGAGCTTCATGAATGTACTAGGTCTGGCTGTACTCTCTTATTACATTTAATGGTTTCAAAATGACGTCAGACATCTCAATGCTTCCTCAATTATTCTTTTCTTTATTTTTTTAAGCTTACAGTAATTACAGCTTAGCTATGATCTACTTCCATTATTCTGCTAAGCTTTTAATATTATAAAATAAGCTGATGTGCTGTTTTAGTGATGCAAACATTAAATTATAGAATTTCATGGACAGATTTATACACAGTTTATGTATTTATACTTAAAGCTAAAGACTCAAACTTTAGTTTTAGGGAAGAGGCAGAGGGTCTGACATGTTATTTTAAAATACAAAAGCTTTAATTTCACATATCAATAAGGATTCTGATTTTTCATCATAGCTAATGTATGATGCTTATAATAGGAAGTTTGGTTGATAGGTTGGGTTGTAGATATAACAAGCATATTGCATATCTGATCTAGCCTTGCTGCTTTTTCTTTCTACTGTTTTCTAAACCTATTGCAAAACAGTAAAATGTGAATAAAAGGTAGTGGAGTTTTTTCAGTCCCAACTCCAGGTTGAGTCAATATTAATGTTATGGTACACAGTGAGTAAACTGAGGCAATTCATGTTTGAGAAGTGCCCTTCTATTAGTGAATGTGATATTCTAGAAGGTTGATAGGGAAAATGCGCTTTCATTCTTTGCAGACCCAGAAGTTGACGTTTTAGCTAACTGTCTGTACTTGTTCTTTGGAGGTGACAAGCTTCTGCAGAACAGCACTTCAGGAATGTTGTTCCTGAATTGTCAGGGTGTTAAAGTTTGTTGTTCTCATTCAAATAACATCATCTCTATTATATGGGAGGTTCTGGGATTTTGAGGATGATGGAAAACTTTCCACTTTAAGAACAAGTAACTTTTTTTGCAGAAAGACAAATCCCCCCACAAACCCACAAGTATTTATTTTATGATTAAATAATTTTTTTTTTTAAATCTATTGAAAATAAAACTGAGCTTGGAAGCTTAGTGCAGTCTTGGCTGAGCTGTGACTCCCCATCCCAAGAAGTCTGTAGAAGTGGGGGTTTGAGAGCTCCATTGGCAAGAATCTAATGTGTTCAGTGGCATTGTCTCCATGGCACCTTTGTAGCTAACATCTGAGTTTTCCAGCAGTCCCTTAAAAAGGTGGTGAAATGTTAGCCATAGTTCTGTCAGTTTTGTGCATATATTTTGCTAGAAATTTCTCAAAACCAGTATGTTAACATGTCCACAAACTGGGATTTTTCCACTGTAGCCTATTCTGCAGAATTCTTTGTATGTTCTTCCCACAGCTGCACTTCTTCCAGTTGCTGCTGTTTTTTGAGAAAGAGCCTACAGCAATTGTGAGGAATGCCTTACCCTCATGTGTTAAAAGGTTTTGTTCCAGGAGGTGAAGAATTTACATTATATTTTTGATCTTGCAGGAATTCTTCAGTGGGTGAAGCTGATAGATAACTTTGAGGCTGAGTATGAGTATGTCACCAATGAAGGAACAGTGTTCACTTTCAAGACAAACCGCCATTCTCCAAATTACAAGTTAATCAACATTGACTTCAGTGACCCAGGGGAATCCAAATGGAAAGTTCTTGTCCCTGAACATGAAAGAGATGTTCTAGGTAAGAGTTCATGTAAAGTGAAAGACTTTGTTCTTCTTTTTTCAAATTGATGAAATAATTAGACTATAGAGTAATCTTGTACAGACCTTCTTACTTTTTTCTTGTGGTTAAACTTTGTTCAGGATTTGCATTTAAAAGATTGCAGAGACTCCAGAGATACAGGATCCATTACTCTCTCTCTAACATCCTGTGTGGTCATACTGAAGTTGCTTCATCTGTCCTTGTTTTAACTCTGTGTTTGTAGGAAGATACTGTCCCCTTATGTCCTGCTTCATGTCTATGTAGTAAACATTTACTAGACAGTTGGAGATTGCAGCAAGAGGGACTTTGTAAGCAGAAGGAAAGAGCAAGCCTGGCAATAATGCAGCACACTATGAACAGACTTGTTCAGAGTTTGAGACAGGATTTTCTTTTGTTCCTGGGATAAGAGGAGTAGACAACACTTGGAAAAAAGCCTGAGGAAAGTTGAAGGGCATGGAATTCTCCAAGTATAAAAGCAATTTCAAAACATTAATTTTTTTTGTATTTTTTTGGTTTGCTACAATTAAAATGAAAGCGTTGTTTGGTTTGTTGGTTTTTTTAAACCTCATTTTGGGGAAATTTCTATGAAAACTTTGAATTAGTTTCAGATAATGTGGAAAACCCTTCTCTAAGCTGTTTTTTGAAAAATGCTTTGTGTACATTTATGTAGCCTGTTCTCCGTACAGTATAAGATACAATTATGATTTATCTGACTAGCATAATTATAGCTATTCACAAAGACTAACTGTTGCTTTTTGTGGTTTTGTGGGTTTTGTTTGGTTTTTTGTGCTTTGTTTGTTTGGGGGTTTTTTTATTATTAAGGCATCTTTATGCAAGTTCATTGATGTTTGCTGCTTTTCCAGTGAAGTGCTGTGTTGTAGAATTAGTAGAATTCTCTCTGTGTGATTTGATATAGTAACTTCTGTCTTTTCTCACCAAGACAAACCTATTTGACTACTGTTTCAAATTCCTCTTAAGATCTTGCTTTTCAAGACACATAAAAATAAAAAAGTCTTAATTTCTGTCTGCATTTCATGATGTGTCCTGCATGGTTTTTTGCCACAGCCTAGATAAAGTGTCCCCACTGTGACATAAATGGTGATTCTGAGCACACCCAGAATTGCAGTGATGTTGCAAACCATGTTGGTAAACACAAAACCAGTAAATTAGAGCTTGGTGAGACACAACTCTTTTTCTTAAGATTGTGAACTGTTTGAATCAGGAACCACCTGCATCTTAGAGAAAGTACCTTTCAATTCCTAAGCAGATAATAAATTAGACATGTAAGTGAAAAATTGCTTCCAAGTCTAATTAGATTGCATGCAAATTTGCTGACAGTCTGCAAAGCCATGCTTAAGTTATGAAGAACAGCAATTTATAAAGTGGGACCAAGCAGAAGAATCAACTTAGGGATGGTGAGTGTTCAAATAGAATGGGACAGAAGCATGTCATTGGCATGAAGTTTAGTTACTGTGTGTGGATTTACCAGAGATGTGGTTTGGGCAGCATAAGGAGCTTTGACCAGTGGCTATACAGGCACTGGCTATATATTCCTTCCCAGTAAGATAAAGCCCACATCTGCTCTTCACTACAGTGCAGTATTTAGCTCAACTCTGTTTTGCTTTCATTCTAAAGGCAAAGTCGTGCTGAGTTCATGTCTGTGCACATGCAAAAATAATTTAATGCATGCAACGCTCCTTTAATGGTTTACACATGACAGCCTTGACTATACAAACATAAGAATTGCACTTAGAAAACAAAGTTCAGATAAATGGGTTTGCTGAGGGCACTGGCCTTCATACTGTAAACACAACAGGCATTCAGCTCTTAAACGCTTGAAGGCAAACATCATCTGTCATGTAAAACCATCAGAGTGACTTTCAAGAGTCTGTTGTGTGTCATTAGACTTCTACTGTATTTGAATGTGAAGCCAGAGTAGGCTTATGTCCATTTCTCCAGCTTTTTGGAGTCATATGTAAAAGAATAGGATTAAATTAACAAATCAAAGTGTCTCCATAAGAAGATGAGGTTTTTAGCGCTACAGTAAAGTAAGTTTGAATTGTTCAGCTGCTTCCTCGTGGCAGACAAAGCAAATTAGTGTTGTATCCTCAGCACCAAGATAAGGGAGTTTTGCTGTGTTCAGGAGGTTGTAGCCCTGAATAAGTAAAAATACTCCTTCACTTGATGAAGTCAGCAAGTCAGTCTCTATGTTACGTTTTTTTAATAATTCCAAGATTTGATTTAGGAAAGCATAATTGTAGCAGAAGACAGTTAATAATTAATTGTATTGATAACCTTGCAGTCAAGTGAATTTGATCTTTCTGAGATCCAGAAATGACAATCTAATGAGACTCCTTCTGCAAAAGCTAAGACAGCACTGATTGAAAGGGTAAAGGAGTATTGCTGCATGTCCAATTTTAAATATGTGTGGGAGTGACAACTAATTACATCTTGGTAGGGAGTATTAGAATTTCCTTACAAACATTTTATTTAGTGATGCTTTAGGTCACAAATGTGTTTTACTGGTATATATAGGTACTTGGCTCCGAAAGTCTCCTACTCTGGTGTAATGAGCCTGGTAGCCACAGCCTTCTGTATAGATTCAGTTCCATAAAAGCTGCACTGTGCACATATAGGAGTAGATTTATTTATGAATAATAACTTCAGGATTAAGAATTGTCAGCATCCATCAGTGGCAAAAAGAGAAATTACACAAAGTATCCTAATGAATTATTGGGGAAGATGTTAAATAGCTAATGTAATCTAACCAAGAAATGAATACACATGCCTACAAGGCCATGTTAATGTCCTTTGGTTCCCTCATATTCTTCAAGACAGACATTTTTATTGGCTTTGATCTTTTTTGTTTTCAGAACTGCTTATAAATAAGCTAATTTGGGAATTACAAGAAAAAAACCCAAACATACTCCTGCAATGAGATTGTACACACACCTCGTTTTACAGCTTTCAACAGGGATTTCACGCAAAGCTGAGGTAAATTTAGATCTCCACCCTGAGCTGAGGAGAAGAATTAAATTGCAGCTATTTTAAAATGAAATTGAGGGGGGCCTCAGAACATACTGAAGTGTGATGAGATTCATTTCCTCCCCATTGGAGTTTGTTTATAAAGTGTTACTTCTAATTTTCAGGGATTCTAAAATAGAATCGTAGGAGAGACTCACATCTAACATTGAGCTAGGGCTTTAAATGACCACATAGCTGCAAGTAGGTGTGCTGAATTAGTTAAAAGACAGCTATGAAACCACAAATATAGTCTGATCATTACAGTCACTGCGACCCTAGTTCTAAGGCATAGGATAAACTTGCTGTCTTTAGAAGGCTAAATAATTAATTTTGAGAACTCTGCCCCCCCCAAAAAAAAAGTGCTTAATACTGGTAGAGCAGGACAGCTCAAGAGTAGCAGTTATATCTAGCCCTGTACTGGTGACAATTAAAAGAAAAACAGAATAAATATCCTGAGTAAGGAGGGATGAGAAATAAGACATATTCTTGAATGTGTCACAGACGAGATGACTGATCCTGAACAGTTCCTTAAATCTCAGCCGTTTACCAAGCAGGGTCACAGCTAGCAATGCTCCTGTACCTTGCATGCATCTGCACACCTAAACTCAGTGATACAAACTGCTTCCCTTCCCTCAGCTGGAACTTGCACTCCAAATGAAATATAGTATTTTTCTTCATACCTTTAATCTGATAATTCATAAATGCTTAAGAGTTGCAGTAACTCCCCTCCCAAAACTAAAATGTATCTTTTGGCGCTGTAGTGAAACCAGGAGGAAAAGTCTGGAATGAGCACCACGAAATTGTTGATCCTGAATGACAATGATGTGTGTGCATGCGTGTGAGTAATCCCTCGTGTTCATCTTGGCCATCAGGAAGCTTGTGTACTCTGTTACCCTGTGGTGCTTTTCAGAGTACCAGTAGCTTTACAGTCTCGAGAGTTTTGCTTGCAAAGCAGGTGCATGAAGGATTGCGTCTCTGTTGTGAGGAGCAGTTGTGTGACCACCCGTGTACAGCCCAGAGCAAACATCCTACAGAGACAGCTAGTGCAGAAGTGTGGCAGAGAAGAGGGAACTGGCTGCACTGCAAATGACCAGATTGATAAGCTTCTAATATGAAACGGTACATATATGCACACACACGCTCCCCCCAACAAACAAACCAACTGGGATGTGGCTTAGCTCCAGTGTTTCCCAGCAATAAAAATCACCCCCTAAGATCTGGCCAAGCCAGATACAGTCCCTCAGTCACTGAGGAGATGTGGTCCAGATGCATGTCCCTGACTGAAAGTTTTATTCTGCTTCCCTGATAGGGTTTTTGTGGCTTTGTTTAACTCTCTTTACCATGGAAAAACTGCATCAGTCACAGATGGCTAAAGCCTTAGGTTACTTAAGGAAGCATTTCTCCTAATGTTAGCAGCTTCAGAAGAGCTCTGGGCTCTCTTGTTTGTGGGTGTCATGCTGAGAGGGTGTGGGGTATAAAATACTTGTTGTCTTGAAGTTGGTTGGAGCTTTTCCATTAACTTAAACTTGGCAGGCTGTCACTGGGGATGACATGTCAGGGAGAAGACATATGCTTTATGTTGTGAGGGCTCATCAACGTGGACTCGTGTGTTTCAGGATGATTCATGTTTTATTCTGTAAATTACTCATGTTTTACTTCCAAGTCTACTCATAAGTAGCCTTGAGGGGTGGTTACAGATCATTTTAATTGAGGTCAGTGTGGATACCTGTTGATCTTGGAGATACTGTGATATGTGGTTGTTGTCTGCGATGACCAAAGAAACCAAAATGATCTTCCGGGTCTGTTATCCAGCTCCAGCTTTGTCAGGCCATGGAAGTATATTCACTAGTTGCTGAGAGGATGCACAAGCACACTGTACAGCAAGTAACTCAGCAGTTTTTTTGCTGAAGGCTTATGGCTACCTAGCTTTTCTACCTGGGCATGTTCTTCATCAACATTTCAGTCTGCATCTGTCAAAGCATGTTTGTACAGTTGGACACTTGACATGTTGTAGCTACTGCTGCAGAAATGAAAGGTTAGAGCTGTCATAAGTAATTAAGGTTAGTGGTGCAGATGTTTGGTGTGAGGATTGAAACTTTTTTTTTCCTGAAACTGTTTCAAAAGTTGTTCATAGCAATGTTGCAGGTGCCAAGTTGGCGGCATGCCATTGCTACTAGTGCAGGCTGTTGAAATACTAAAGGTTTTGGAAAGTAGTGGTATATGAATTTTTAAAAGCCTGAGCTATAACTTCAAGATGGTTGAGCTCAATTTTCTAGGCCTTGTTAAGAGGTATGACTCATCTAGCCCAAGTTTAGCTGTTGAAAAATTGTGTGTAATCTTTTGTAGTTATCCAAGTGGTCACTGTCATCTTCAGAGAGAAATGATCAGTGCCAATAATTCTTCACATCTAATTTCAGTACCTACCAGTGCCTCCAACTGTGTCCATCTCTCTGATGCCTGAGCCAACAGGCTCAAGTCGGAAGAGGCAACCTCTACATGTTTATTGTTAAATAAATCCCTTGCCTGATGGGTATTGTAAGTAAGTGGATTGTAAGTGTTCTGGAGAATAATTGATGAATTTAGATGTAACTGTGAAAATAACTGCTCTGTTTATTGGTATTAACTGAAAATAAACCAACTCTATATATTCGAGAGGTGTTGGATGGTTAGCTTTTTATGAAAATCCCACTTGTGTTAGAGAAACTGGTCAGCAAAGAAGTTCACAGTATCCCAGAACAGAGTATCCAAAACAGTTGGGTGAACTGCATTCTAAAGGTGCTTTTTTCTGCCCATTGGCTATAAAGGGAGCCTACAGAAATGTTGCCAGGTTTAACTTTTAAACATATGAAGGTTCCAGGAAGTGCAGGGGTATGCAGGATGTGTTCTGCAAAGCATGAGCAAAACCAAGGGGTTTGACTGCTAATGCAACAAACTTGACAGTATCTGCAGTTCTCTGTGCCAAGCATGGGACTAACAGAGACTCAGCTTGTAGCTTGCGGTCAAAAAATAGCTCTTGTTAATAATTCAGCATTGTTTTAGCTTGCTGTGTATAAGTGTAGGTTCTTAGTGTCTTTTTTTTCCTTCCTGCTCTTTCATGTCTGCTTCAGTGTTTGGCTCTGTTTTGATTCTGATTTAATGTTGCTGTTTCATAGAATCATAGAATAGTTAGGGTTGGAAAGGACCATAAGATCATCTAGTTCCACCCCCCCTGCCATGAGCAGGGACACCACACACTAAACCATGTTGCCCAAGGCTCTGTCCAACCTGGCATTGAACACTGCCAGGGTTGGAGCATTAAAAGCTTGCTTGGTCAACCCATTCCAGTGCCTCACTACCCTCACTGTAAAGAACTTCTTCCTTATATCTAACCTAAAGTTCCCCTGTTTAAATTTAACGCTATTACCCCTTGTCCTACCACTACAGTCCCTGATGAAGAGTCCCTCCCCAGCATCCTTGTAGGCCCCCTTCAGATATTGGAAGGCTGCTGTGAGGTCTCCATGCAGCCTTCTCTTCTCCAGGCTGAACAGTCCCAACTTTCTCAGCCTGTCTTCATATGGGAGGTGCTCCAGCCCCCTACTCGTCCTTGTGGCACTCCTACGGAATTCCTCCAGCAGCTACATGTCATTTTTATGTTGAGGACACCAGAACTGTATACAATGCTCCACGTGAGGTCTCACTTTCCTAGGCAAGTTCTTCAATAGCAGAAATCTTCACATAAGCCGGCAGTCTTACCTTTAGGCAACTGATTTTTTTAGTAAAAGAGTAATATTTCTTTGTAATACGTAAGTCAAAGTAATAATGTACTTTGACTTTTAATTAAAATATTCATTAGACTGCAATGCTTCATCAAATTATTAGTGAGGAATTAAGGGTCATCACAATTTGATTGTAAAATAAAGATTGCTTAAGTAGTATTTTTGCAGAAGTAAATCTATGTATTACATGTTTAAAGTTGATCTGAGAGTGTCTGTAATCCATTTTGTGAAACTTTAAAGTGTCAGGAAAATTCAAGAGTAAAACTGGGCATTTTAGTTATAACTGCGAGCAAAAATGTTGCTATAATGTTACTATAGGGATGTTTTTTTTAATTTCGTATTTATGTTAAACCAGTTGTACATGTGAATGTTAGCAGATATGTGCAGTGACAATGTAACAAATATTTTAAATTACTGCGTATTCTTCTTGTTCATACAGCCAAGAATGATGCTGTATTTCAAAATATTTAATTAGCTATAACAATTAAACCTACAAAATTTATTCTGTTTTCCAGCCTAACTTAAGCAATTTAAGTCACTGCAGAGCTAAAATTACACATGAATTACTAATTTATGAACAGTGTTATGTTGTGCTGTATCTTATTATTTCAGGTCATGGCTTCATGGATGAAATTTCAGTTAGTGTTGTACTCTGGGGCTTTGGTTAGAAAATTCCCAGATTTAGGCTAGAAACTCATGAGGAAGTTGGAAAGTCTTAGGGTAAAAAAGTATCAGTGGTGGTCTTTGTGAAGAAGAGAGTACTAAGGCTTTAGTTTGGTGTTTATATAACATAAACTCATATGGCTAGAAAGTCAGACTAGTGTTAAATTCAGGAGCAAGCTAAAAGGAAAGCAGACTGTATTGAGCTATTAGAATTTGAAGGTCTTGGAGCTGTAGGGGGTCATGACAGACCTGAATTGTATATGAAAGCAGGGACTGTTAAAGAAACTAAATGCTACAGAATAAAGAGTTTTGACCTTCAGTTCAGAAAGACTTTGTTAGCCTTAATGGAAGGGCCCCATGATACAACTTTGAACTTTTGCTCTGGAACCTGAATGTGCAAAGATCCATTTATAAAACTGTCTTCAGTACAACTCTGAATTCAAATTATTTGGTTTTATAGGACTCTGGGGAAACTGGAAATAACTGTTAAAATGTGAATAACATAAAACTGTAAAACTGAAATTAGTCAATTTTAGCTTGCTTCTGTTTTGGTTTTGATGTTTTTTCTTCTGATATTGGTATTTTAAGATGCCTTTCTCACAGTGCTACTTTGACATTACAGTGTGCCTAGGCCAGTCCTACCAGATTTTTCTTGCTCATTTTATTCCGTCTTTTTGGGCTTTGCTTACAGCAGATTAGAGAAGTCCTTGTCCATGGTACCTTGCCCATGAAGTAGGTTGCCAATCTGAGTATTCAGGGGAGAAGTTGCACACATAAAGTTGGTAGAGGACAAGAATCACCATTTCTCCTAGCCTTACAAAGAAAAAAAATTGTCCTTCTTTCCTTCCAGATATACTTTTCTAGACTTTTAACCTAGTTTGTATTTTGTCTTGTTTGTATGTGGTTTGTGACTTAATGAGAAGAAGTTGAAATACTTTTGTTGCGAGGTAGGGTAATTGTTTTTTAAAATGACAGAAATAGTAAGAGAGATGATGAGGTTTCAATCTTTTTCCTGTCTGTGTAAGTAAATAAATATATTTGTCATTAAAGATCTAAAGCCAGTGGCAGAAGAGACAGGAGAGAATGTTACATGATATATTCTGGGCAAACTGGAGCCCTGAAGTGTTTCTACACTTCACAGGATATAAAGATGGGGATTGAAGTGAGATGGTCAGTAGAACTGCAGGGATTTTTGTAGAAATTGCCAGCCCGGAGCTGGTTTTATATATATATGTATTTTTTTTTTTTTATTAGTTTAGAGTTTTCCAAAGTCCAATTAAGAAAATCAGCATTCCCCCATGAAAAAGTTCACACATCTCTGATAATTATTCTGAGGAACAAACTTAGAATGTGAAAGGTTCTTTGAAGCAGAAGCTCTCGTTCCTGCACAGCTGAGGTGGGCAGTTCTGCAGGACGCAGGACTGCCAGGAGAGGTATAAAGGAAATGACCTCTGTAGAGGATTTTATTTCTGGATCCTTTTGCCGGATTATATTGACTGTGTTACATCCTGTTCCTATTACCATACAGTCTAAAGAATGCTGTTTAACATTAGCTTCTTGAATAAACACTATTTTTGTGACAGTGGTGTGTTGAGGATGTCTCCTAAGAGTAATTCTTTTCTTACACCCAGTAGAGCTTACTTAAGAGAATACCCTGCTGAATATTTAACCAGTAAAAAAATGATGAATAGTAACCTCGAGGTGCTATATTTCAATGTGCAATACAGGACATGTCTATTCTTACGAGTTTAGCTTAAATCTGAATCATAATGATTGTTTTTATTTTCATGCATTTCCGTAAGTATTACTGGCAAAGGACAGTGTTTTGCTTGGGTTTTGCACTGAAATATGTGATATTTAAGAGCAGTAATTGTCTATAAGCACCCCAAATATATAAGCATCTTAGTTAAGCAATTCCTTACTCCTCTGTCTGCATAAATTAGCTTCAAGCATCATGGTTAGTGTGTTTCCAAGGATTGTTAGCCTTTACTTTTGGGTTCACCTTTTTGTTTCAGAAGGCAGGTGACTTTTAAAGATTTTTAAGAGCTAATGCATGTCAAAAATTTTGGTTCATGTATTTAGGAATGCTGAAGGCTATTACAGTCAGGTTATGTCTAACTGTTTTCCTTTTCACAGTTCTTTTCACTGTATGTTCTGTGGTTTTATTTCTCTTTTCTGCAACCTGCAGAATGGGTTGCTTGTGTGAGGTCCAACTTCCTGGTTTTGTGCTATCTGCATGACGTGAAGAATATCCTGCAACTTCATGACCTAGCTACTGGTGCACATCTCAAGACTTTCCCCCTAGAAGTTGGCAGTATCGTGGGATACAGTGGCCAAAAGAAGGACACCGAAATATTCTATCAGTTTACTTCCTTTTTATCTCCAGGTAAGATTGTTTTTCCCCTAGTTATTGTTCCTTTTCTTGGAAACAGTATCTTTCTCATTTTCTGTTTAGTAGTTATTAAGTATCTCTAAGATACAGATAAAACTGCTTCCCCACCATGTAGTTAAGCAGTGGTTGTGCACTTCAGAATGTACCAGTTGTTGATCCATGAGAGCTAAATAATATGCATACTAATATTTCAGAGAGCTGCATTGAGAAATTACTCAAGGCTGGCTTGTACTAGAGAGGAAACTGTAGCATTCTCACAGCTCTTGCTTCATACAGCAAGATACAAGTTTACAAATTCTGTTGAAGACAATTTTTAATGTATTCAGTGGGATTTTTCATCACAATTTTGAAGAACATTTTAAAAAGTAATATTTTTTTTTTCTGATAGCTTTGTGATGCATTTATGCATAGCCTCATAAGAGCATTCTTACTATCTGTGCTTACATCTGTTGGATTATCTGTTGGATTGCTGTAGGAATCCTCTTGCAAAGCCAGAGCTGTCCAAAACATTCTGTAATACATGTGTGGAACACCAGTAAGTACTCTAGGATTTTGAATAATAAGGGATTTTCTGTGCAATTGTCAAGCTAGTATATGACAAGAAAATGTGTTTGCTGGTTTTTGGGGGGGTTTTCTTGGATTTGGGGTTTTTTAGTTGGGTTGTTGGTTTTGTGGTGCTTTTTGCTGTTTTTGTTTTATTTAAAATTTCTTTATAGCCCAAACAATCAATAGCTAATGCAGGAAAGGATTCAAGTATGGACAGGAGAGATAGACTCCAGAATCTTCATCTTATTCCAGGGTTATAAGTGATCATGAATCATAAGATGATCCAAAGTGTTCTTACAGCATCTGATATACATTTTTCATCTGTTTCAGTTAAAGCACAGCCATATCGCAAAATGGCTGTATGATAGTTTTGATAGGTTTTCTGGTTTTGCTAAAGGATTGTGTCAAATTATTCAAAATTATGTTTCAAGCTTAGCCGTTAAGAAGTGTGGTAGATTTCCTATTGTTATCTTGCTATTTACATAACCAGAAATAAGATAGATTTCCAGTTTCTCTTTTAAACAAACTTTTAAACAGCACTCAGATCATTGCAACTGGAGAGGAGCTCGAGAACACTCTGTCTTCATCCCACCATGATGGTTCAGATTGTTCACTTGCTCACATCCCAGCTCATGGTCAAGAAGTTGCCAGTCTTACGAGCCTGCACTGTTCACCTCTGCTGATTCAGCAGAGTCTCTGCAACTGCTAAACATGTGGAGGGGAAGAGCCCAGAGATCTGTTTTAATCTGTGGCTTGCCAGCCAGCAATGGTCGCTCTCACTGCCTGCTGGCTGCTTAGGCAGACTTTTTTTTCCTTCTTTTCATCCATGTGCTTAGCATCTACAGAGAATTTGCCATGAGCAACCTGGAATATAGAAGAAAGAGGAAGGGAAGAGATGGAGGTAGACTGTATGGGAATAAGAAAAGGGTGAGGAAATCAGACCAGAGAGATAATTTTTTAGGTAGGTGTGTGGATATTTTATTTGCATGCAACCTCCATTCACCCCATCAGTGGAATAATCAGACAAAAGGTATGGAGCTGGTCTCAGTAAACTTAGATCTTCCTACATTATGATTAGAAATCAGTATAATTTGCACTTGTATTAAGTTGCACTTTTTTTTTCTAATGAGAAACGTTAACATTTAATGTTAATTGTTGTTTATTTATGCTTAATACCTACAACAAAAGTAATAGTAAACATATGTATGAAATGATGAATAAAGCAGTTCTAAAACCATAGATGCTGACACCATAAAAATAATTTTTGCTGTTCCCTGAAAAATATGGTTCTCCCTGCTGTGCACTCCAGTAAGATATTTAAGTGAGGACTCTATTCTTTCGCATTTATTTACCACCCAGCAAAAGAGTGTAGGCACCAACATTACTATGGTTTTGGATATTAACTGCCATGTTACTTTTAGTGGCATAATATAACAGAACAAGAGATGCAGTGAGGGATGCAACTGAATGTTACTCTAATATTAGGTTGACTGACTCCTGAAATGCAGTCTGTGACTGTACTTATCATGTGGTTTCCTAATATGCAGCTATTCTGCCTGCTCTGTGTGTAATGTTTGCCAGTACATTATCCAGCTTGGGTGGCTGTATATATATGTCAAATGTCTACTCTGCCTGTTGTCACCTGATGTGCTTTCCTTTGTGCTTTGGCTTTCTGGATCCCTTGCTTTCTGGATCCTAACCTTTAAGGGAAATGCTGTTTTGATACTTTTTTGTACCTGCCACCCTGCATTAGGCTTGCTTGTCACTTGTGATAAATGAAGAAAAAAAATTCCCAGCAGATTAGATTCCCTATTAATTCACCACTATAGAAAGAGGCTTTATCAGTTATCAGGAATGTTAGTTTTCATCCCTGTTCCTTTGCCAATCTGCATCTTTCTGATTTTCCACAGTCAGTGATTTAGTGAGACCAATCAGATATGTTCCCTCATTATTTCATGTTTCAATATAATTTTTATAGCTATAATCTCTGTAATAATTACTTCTGATTTCCTGAAAGTATCTAAAATACAGACAATACAGCACTATTTCAATCAAGTCCTGACCACCTCAGTTTTATTACATTGAGGATCTCTATAGAGGGCTTTTTGCCGTAGCTTTTAGTGATCTTTTCCCTGGTACGCATTTTAAATCTTATAGAGACCACCTTGTTGTAAAGCTGAAAAACAAAGAATTAACACCAAGGTTAGTTTTATGTTTCATATGTATCTGCAGTATATCCATGAATATTAGGATTTTGTAAAATGTTACCCTGTGTGCATATGCTCAAATGCTTTTTGGGTTGAATGACAGGAAATATGATTCATAGTCTAAATACAAAATTCTTCTTGGCTAATTACACGTCTGTTTAATATCTAGATTGCTGCAGTCTCTGAGATTCTGCCTCTGCTGCAACCTAGAAATCTTATACTGATTATATACATAAATTTTTTCATGGGCACAATCCTTTGGAAATCATGGGTGCAACTCAAGCAAGTCAAGTTGCCTTCAAACCTGCAGGATCAGATAGTAAAATAAATTGCATGAGACCAAATTCTGTTCAGTTACACAGGTAACCCGTGCTAGTCTGCTACAATTTAAGTGGATGATCAGCCTTTTCCATTATCCGGGGGTCTGTTTGAATTGTGTTTTTGAAATATTTTATCATAAAGAAAAAAATGTTGACCTGAATGAAATTATGATATATTAGTCTCAGTATGGTGGCTGTAGAGAAGATGTTTCATAATTGACTTCCTACTTACTTCTTCCAACATCATCATTTTCAGTAAGTGCTATGTAACTTTATGAAAACAATATTTGTGCCATTTTGGTTTACCCGCTTTGGATTGCTGGCTTTATATGGGCGTAGAGAGATACTCCTGTATAGAAAGCCTTTGCACCCTGCTTAGATGAAGCGCATATATGTATGTGTTAAATCACATGTTAACTGAAAGAATGTGTCTAGAGCTACTGTTCTTCACCCTGCTGAGTTACCTTTGCTATTCATTACTCCATCACAGCACTTAAGTCAGCATCCTTTTAATGATGGACATAGACTAAGCTGACAAACTTGCACTCTATTTTAGGTATTATATATCACTGTGATCTGACCAAAGAGGAACTGGAGCCAAGAGTTTTTCGGGAGGTGACTGTGAAAGGATTTGATCCTTCAGTTTACCAGACAATTCAGGTAATAAACATGAATCCTGCTGTCTTGCTGTGATCGCTTATGCAAGAGTTTAACAAAATTACACTTGGTTAAGGATGAGAGTGCTTTAATTAGCTCCTGGTTTGCAGGTCTGTTCGCACTCTGAAGGAATTCTACCAACTCTTGTTAGAGAGATTGGGAGATGTCACTGCAAGTAACCAGGGCAGATTCAACCCTTACTTGGCTTACATTATGAGACAATATGTTCTCTATTTTCTTTTTCCCCCATACTATGGTATTCTTTGATATTTGTTTTAACATCAAGCTGCTGCTTTTCCATGTTTTTTCTAGGGCAACTTCGCACGGCTGCCATAGGCAAGTGTGTGATAGGGCAAGACTTAAGAGGCAGTGGAGAAATAGAAGAAACTTGGAATAGCCGGTCATCTTTCCAGTAGTTCCACAGAATTCTGAGGCCCACCATTAAAGTGGCAACAATAGATGAAACACCCTGTCCCCACCAATCTTGTGTAAAATCAGTGATGATTTCTTCCTGAAGTTCATACCGTGGATCTCTATTAAGAACCTGAAGAAGAAACTGGGAGGAAAGAGGAAATGCACTAATTCATTTATTGCTAGCATCAAATATGAAATCTGCCATAGAACTGTGAAAGGTCTTAACCATGATTATTTGGAAGAAAAGCAGGAGAATATCTAGTGGTGTGAACAGAAAAATCGTATTCATGCATGCTGTGTAAGAATTTTGAGTTCTTACTCAAAAGGTTTTGAGTTTGCCTTTCCTTCAGTGCCAGAGTATATTATGTTCATTAATGCACCAGTGCAGTTACACTTGGAGCAACTCACTTTGATTGTCATAAGATCAGGATTAGACCCTTTTCTTGCAGTGCTGGAACAACTAGAACAAGGAGCAAAAGGTAAAAGCAATTTTAAATAGATACATGCATATATATAAAATAAATATTTCTAATGTAAAACCCCATGAAGCAATTAGTGACCTTTTGCCCAGATGAAACAAAGGCCCCTGCATTTAGAAGTTTATATGAGTGGAGTTAAAATTACAGACATGGATCATTTACAGCCTAGTTCTGAGAGATGTGAACATGGAGAGAAATGAGTGAAGTCTTTGCTAGCAAGGTCTAATGCTTTCAGGAAACTCCTCAGAAACATAGAGAATAAAAGCTTTGCTGATAAAGTATTTGGAGTTAACAAAGACTGGCAGGTAACAAAATTAGGATGGCAGGTTACTGATTTATAATGATGTGAACTGCTTGTTAAATGGTTCCATTATCATAATCTGCATGTCAGTATAACCAAGTGTGGGTAAGACATCTGGGAATCAGGGAGGATATATCCCACTTCAAAATCTGAAATCAGGTAGGTTGTGTCAGTGGGTATCCCACAGCTCCCTTTGCAATCCATGGAAGGCCATAAGCTACATCTGCAGTTACAAGCAGTGTGTCTTAGGGTTCATAGAATTTTGTTGAAATCATATAATCATTTAGGTTGGAAAAGACCTTTATGATCAAGTCCAGCCATTAACATAACACAGCCAAGTCCACCACTAAACCATGTCCCTAAGCGTAACATCTACGTGTCTTTCAGTATCTCCAGTAATGGTGACTCAACCAAAATAATTAGAGGTCTAAAAAAACAGTCATCGTATTGCGATGCTTAGCATATTTAATACCTGCAATTTATAGAAGAAATATTGAATAGTGGATTAATTAGCCTATATGTAGGATTTTGCATCTGTAAATTAAGAGTGGAATAGAGGATTTTTCTTTCTATACACAAAGGTATAACAAGATCCAGTATGTAAAGTGGAACTTAAATAAGCTTAGCCAGGAAAAAGGTGAAATGACCTAGGGAGATAAAGTTAAGCAACAGTGTGACAGCATGACTTGGAGTCTTTGAAAGGAGATCGGATATTTTGCTTAATCTCTTATTTTTAATTTTGTCTCTGGCACATATACAGGACAGATTCTCTGAAAGCATGAAGACAGTAGTATGTGTGCATGAGGTGGTTGTAAACAGCCCCATCTGTTTGTCTCTGTATCTCCAGACAGAAATAAAAGTGTTGGAGAGGGCAGTTTGCTGGAAATGTTCTTACAGAGAATGTGTTTCTACTGCTTTTCTTAAATTCATTAAGGGACCTTCTCAGCATAACTTCAGGGCATAGTGAGCTGAAAAAGAGAAAGAAAACAGCATTCTCTTTAGGAAAGAACTTGGTACATTTGTAATACTGCCATCAGACTCAGAAGGATAATAATGGAACACAAATACCCATGTAATTAAAAAGGGTTTAGAAGGGGTTGCCATAAATTAGAAATAATGTGGTTTTATGGTAAATCAAATTTTATGAAATAAATGTCTGGAAAAACAAAATCTCATTTTACATTTAAATCAATTACGTGCTGAAGTAAGGTAAAGTAGAAGAATAATACCAATAATTTCAAGGAGGCAGCATGCTGTTGCTATGCCCTTGGAAGCCTTCACTTTGTAAATCACTGGCAGAGCTTCACTGCTAGGCCATAATGCAGTGGAGCTCAATATCACTGTTTCTGGTTTTCTCCTTACTCACTTGTCGTGGTTTAAGCCTAGCCGGCAACTTGGAACCACGCAGCGCTCGCTCACCCCCCCCCCTCTTCCTCCCCTCACTCCCAGAGGGATGGGGCAGAGAATCGGAGGAATGTAACTCCCACGGGTTGAGATAACAGCACTCCAGTAACTAAGGTATAATACAAACCACTACTGCTACCAATAATAATGATAAGGGAAATAACAAGGGGAGAGGACACAACCGCTCACCACCTGCTGACCGATACCCAGCCCGACCCGAGCAGTGGTCTGGGCCTTCCGGGTAACTCCCCCCAGTTTCTATACTGGGCATGACGTGCTGTGGTATGGAATACCCCTTTGGCCAGTTTGGGTCAGGTGTCCTGTCTCTGCTTCCTCCTGGCTTCCCCTCCTCCCTGGCAGAGCGTGAGACTGAGAAAGTCCTTGGTCAGAGTAAACATTACTTAACAACAACTAAAAACATCGGTGTTGTCAGCGTTGTTCCCAGACTGAAAGTCAAAAACACAGCACTGCAGCAGCTACTGAGAAGGAGAAAAACATGACTGCTGTAGCTGAACCCAGGACATCCCTCCTGTTCAGTACCAGCTCTAGAGAAATGTGACCTATGTAGTTACACTGGGATCAGTGCTTATGAAGAGCAATCTTGGCTCTCCACTCATCCAGTGTTGCCTTTTATCAACAAATTATCTCAGTGTGGCGACATCTTGGAAATTAGTTTCCCATTATCATTCAAATAAAGGGAGACATCTCAGCTGAGCTGTGAAGGAGGCAGTTTGTCAGAGCCAGAGCTGGGACTGCCTGGTTAAATTTATAAGTAACTCGCCTGCCAGTGCTACACACTTCTACCAGTCCTTGTTTCCATTTGTGAGGTCCCGCTTGGACCCTTGATGATGATGCTGCTTGGAGGAGAGAAAGGGAAATGGCAACTTACTAAAGCAGCTTATAAACGGCTGTCAACCTGGATGAAGGCCTTGCACAGCCATTGCAAAATTCAGGCGACTTTGTAGGGAATTATGAAAGAAACTCAAGAGTACAAGAAATATACTGAGAATAGGCAAAGATTGCTGATTACAGGAGAATGAACACCACTGTGGAATTTATTTCTTAATTTTAATTTCCATCAGAATTACTAAGCAGTAAAGAAAAATGTTACTGGCTCTGTCCTGATCTGAGTCCTTTATGAAAGGCAGGTCTCCTGCCAAGGTTCTTCTTTTATTCACATATACCTGAATAAATGCCTACTTAGGCTAGCTATCTTCCTAGATTTGTCTGTGTAGCATATATGAAACTTTAATGAGGAGTTGTTCTTTAGCAGTCTTTGAAAACAACTGAGTTAAGAAGACCTGAATTGAGCTGCAAGGTGTCATGTGTATACGAAACCCAAATTAATGGCAATTGGAAATTGCCACAGTGCCTGTTTTTTGCTCTTTTGGATCCACTTTGCAGTATTTCGTAGATGCTATGTAGTGCAAGTGTGGACCAGTGATAAAGTTTACTACACTAAGTAAATTTATCATAGAGCAGCTGCTTTGTAGTACCTGAGGTTAAGTTCTTACCCTTTGGCAGCTCAAGAGCAAAATAGCCAAGTTAGCTTGCACTGAAGGGAGAGATGTTTCAAAATACCTGACATTTACACCAGGGTAAGAGCATGCCTGTAGGTTGTTGGCTCTATGTGACACCATGGAAGTACATAGTCTAACTTACTATGAAATAGCTTGTGCACATGCCCTTACCTTGGAAGATTCTGTGACCTTCATGAAAAAGTCACACTGTTTAAAATGCTTGCCACATCAAAAATTTATCATGACTACTTTTGTTAAATGATATATTAAGTTGTGTTAATAACTTTTCCTCTGCCAAACGCTTCTTGAAATTTGTCTTTGCTTCCATGGACACTTCCATCCATCACAATGACAAACTTTTTTAGGAAATGGCCTGGGGTGGGTTTTACAGGAGGAAAAAAGACTTTTGCAGGAACTTGGAAATGGCACTTGCCATAAGCTGTTTGCTGCATCAGTAACACAACTGCTGCTTTAAATTAAGAGCCTTTATTTTATCTTTACAAAGTTGCCAACTAAGTTCTTGCATACCTCTCCATATTAACACCTCACAGTGACACTTAATCATGGATAAACAGTCTTCTGGCCTGGCTCACAACTCACCTACTTTTAGGCTGATATGCAGGCTTATAAGTGTTAAAATTGCAACCGTAAAAATATTCTTTGGCTCCTTTTGCCATTCTTTGAATACCTTCCAGTGCTGCCCTTAAAATAGTTTGTGATGAACCAGAAACAGATGTTGCTATTGACAGATGCACTTCAGAGTAGCTCTTGCAGAAGAACGGTGAAAGTCGTAACACAACTTAGTTTTACAACTTAGTTTGATTCAGAAGCAGCTGCTGTTTAGATACTGTTGCGGAGGTGAAAGACGGACAAGTCCTAAAAAGG